CATGTTTCGATACTCTGTAGAACCAAAGCATTTCGGTCGGTACCATAAAAGAACCGAAGTTCGGTACCCAGCCCTACCCCGGCCGGTTCGTGAAAATATTGTCTGACATATAGCGGTCCGTGGTGCAAAAACGGTTGGGGACCACTGTTTTACATCACCTGAAATAGTTGCTCAAATATGTCCAACACCTCGTTGGAAAGGTCTGAGCTTCTAGTTTAGTTAGTAAGTAGAAGGTGTGGCTAAAAATTAATACGTGCTATTGCATTATTTCGGTAGAGTCGGACATGTCAGGTGGAATTTTAAATCTCATTTTATTTGTTTACACAGCTACTGGATGCATTTTAGAGCCTCAGCCCCTTCTTGTTGTAACTATATGAAGATTTTTTTTATACCTGAGGGAAATAATAACTGTGACAATAAGTGTCTTTGTTGTTAATATAAACTTTTAAGATGACAAAAAAAATTGTGATTTATTGATAAACTAAAAAAATATTGTTAGGTTATTTGTATTCTTTTCTTTTTTGTACCTTTTTCCCCATACCTTTATAATGATTTAAATGTACTCACCAATGTTCTGATATTTCATAGGAGTGAGTAACACAGCCTTTCGTCAGCTAATGGAATTCACATACACAGCAACGCTATCGATATCTGGGGAGGAAGAGGTCCTGGATGTGCTGAAGGCTGCTGAATACCTACAGATGCAGGAAGCCATCAAAGCACTCAAGAAGTAAGACATGAGCAGAGCAACCAGTTCTCTGGTACCGATAAACCTTCTCTGTCACAGCAGCGCAACTGTGTGTTAAAATGACTGTCTTAATGGTATCCTACATAACTTCTTTTTTTCTTCTTTTATAGAATAAATTCTTCAGCGACAACCAAGACCATGGCTAAAAAGAGGAAAATTGCAGAGACACCGAATGTGATAACTGAAACCTTACAGGCAGTGGAGGGAGAGCCGGTTAGTATGTTTATGCGTAATTCCACTTGCATACTCTCATCAGTTGGTGCACATTTACATTTATTTAATTATTTAAAAAAAAAAATTAAACTAAACAGGGATGAAATTCTGTTGCCCTTGTAAGATAATTTTTAGCAATTTAGACAGTGTTCTGATTTTCTTTGTCATTTAAACCTCCTCTTTGTGAAAGAGCCTAGACCACTAAAAGTAGAGAAAAACTTGATTGTTTTTTTTTTCCCATCCTAGAGGTGGTTCTAAACATTCTTTTGGCATTGGTCCAAGTAAATATGCGTCCCTAAACTGACCAAAAAGATGTAAGAAAATATCAATATTGAATATTACGTTGATGACATCTGTTAATATTAACACTAACGGATTGCTCCTGGATCTCATCTTCATGATAACCCAACTTTTCTCCTTTTGCTTTAGCATTTTGTCAGAAAATTAGGCATAAATGATAAAAAGCCATAAAGGTTTACTATTGAACTGCAGCTGTCGATTGTTTTTGTAAGGAAATCATGTAGCATTTTTTGACTAATTGCAAAGAGAACCTCTCAGTAGATTAACATAGTGAATTACCTACTGTTAGTACGAAAAGAAATTACAAAGAACATTCATTGCAGATTTTAAATGCATTGTAATTTTGTGAAAAAATATGTGTGAAATCAAAATAAATAATAATAATAATCAGACCCCAAGTGGTGTAGTTTTAGCTTCATCTGGTTCAAATTCTGTAAAAAAAAAAAAAATCCAGATGTTACCTTTTGCTATCTGAACATGAACCCACAAAACCCACAAAAATCACTGACAAATGAGTTGATTAGGCCTTGTTTGTAATCCTCTTGCTGGAATTATTTGTTACTCTATAATTATAATAAAATATGAAGCATCTTCACATTTCTGCCAAGAAAAGTCCTACTTGTTACTGTATGAACACTGAAGTTGCCTTTAATTATGGCGATGGACTAAATGTTTTGCTGCTGTCTTGTAGCTAGAAATTGAAGTGGTGGAATCCGGCCTTGAGGAAGTTGTAGATGAAAAGTCTGCACAAGCAACATCGGATGACTCTGCTTTGGCTCTTCTAGCTGACATAACTAGCAAATATCAGCAAGGGGAACCAACAATTCATGTTATCAAGAAGGATGATGAGGTATGTTTTTTTTTAATCATTTATAATTTTGAATATATATAAACTTCATTGTGAAAGCTCTCTCTAAAAATGTCTGACTTTGGTTTGAAGGAGGTCCTGTATCAGGAGGAAACTGTGACGGCCTCCAAAGTACTGGAGAACGTTGAAGTTGTTGAAGTCCAGATCTCCCAACAAGACAACGGCTTCCGCTGCAGCCAATGTGATCGTAGTTTTAAGCTGTATTACCATCTCAAACAGCACCTAAAATCTCACCAAGGCCCAGCAGAGAAACCTCACGTTTGCAAGCACTGTGGAAAAGCCTACACGCGGGAGGGCGCCCTAAGCCAGCATATTAGCACGTTTCATTTTGATGCTGATGAACTGTCTCGAGGGCACAAAATTTCTAAGAAAGTGCACATCTGTGAATATTGTATGAAGCAGTTCGACCATTTTGGTCACTTTAAGGAGCACTTACGGAAGCACACTGGTGAGAGTATTAATATAAAGCAAAAAAGAATGAATTATTTTTGCCTTGGCTCGATCTGTGATTTGAGCCTTTACAATGCCATTGTACAATACTACCGTATATCTAAACACTGGCATATTTGGCCTTTTATGTTTTTAGGTGAAAAGCCTTACAAGTGTCCCGATTGTCAAGAGCGGTTTGCAAGGAACAGCACACTGAAATGTCATATGGCCGCCTGTCAGAATGGAGCAGGAGCCAAAAAAGGACGGAAAAAGCTCTACGAATGCCAGGTAAATTTTGCTATTTTTTGTTTTCATTGTGACAGTGTTGTCATATCTGTTTTGAAAGAACTTATACTCTAACTACTGCAGGGCTACAGAGGCTAGAGCTGCAGCAGCCAAGCATTTTGTGAAGGCTTTTGGCACTCTAAATCACTGATCTGCTGACAGATCTTTAGCTGATTCCTGCATTGTTTTAAAAAGTTTTAAATAGTAATAAGATACTTTTTTAATGTTAATATTTGTCTTTACAATAACATGTTTTGTAGTAGAATAGCTTATAGCAGCAATTTTCATTAGTTCACTGAATACATTTAAGGGGTTAAAGAAAGAAAGCACTGATCTAGAAGTACTTTCTGTATTAAAGAAAAATAAAAAGTTAATGGCAGCAGTGGCTGTGGAAGAGAAACAGTTAACCATTGAAAGGAAAGTACTGAAACACTTTAAAGAGCATCACGTTGAACAAAAAATTGGAGAATATAGCGGAGAGGATACATGCTGATTATGTCCTCCAGCAGCTTAAGTATCTTTAATAAAAGGAAAGTTTTAAGCCTGGCCCTAGAAGTAGACAGGAAATCTGCCTTGTGGACTAAAACCGGTATCTGGTTTTAATGAGACACATTTAAAAAAATTAACACAGTTCAACTTTGTGTTTTAATAAATGCTTCTATATTCAGTTAATTTGTAATTAGAATAACCATTTATTTTAACTATAAAAACCCTTTAGAAAGTTTTTAAGAATAATTTTTAGTACCAGGGACATTTTTACACTGTAAAAGTGTATCCCAGAAATTGATTTTGTCTTTGGCGTCTTATATTAGAGTTTAACCTGATTAGTGTAGTTAGTGACTAAGTTAAGCTGTGACTGTCTCTGTAGAATTGGCATTTACCATTTCTGATTCTTTTTATTATTGTATGAATGAAGATGTGTTTAGGAATGTGTATGAATGTTTACAAGTAAATGAATGATTGGACGTTGGGGCAGCATTGTTTGTTAGTAAAGCACAAATCAGGAAAATTTATGATGTCGAGTATTGAAGGAAGGTGAAGGGATATGATCAAATAACTTTTATTTCTTCATACCTCTTATTAGACATAATTACTGAATTATCAATAAAATGTACATGTATATTTCCTTGCTTATATATAGTGTTTGTGTGTGCGTGTTACTGGATTGTCCATTATTCATTTACCGGTATTAGTTTTCTTTCATTAAAGACGGTTTCCAACATTTCTTAATTTAGCTTGTTCAATAATAAAACTATTTTCGGAAAAGATAACACAGGAGCATTGCAGTTATAGTGTAAGCTTCCTTTTTTTTTTGCTCAATTCTCACCACAGTTCTAGGCAATAAGCCTCCCCAGAAAATAGTTTCTATCCTCAGAGCTTCATGCAGATGTTGTTCTTCCTTAGACTTTTATTTTAGTGTCTTAACCATTAGTCATTTTCCTTCTGTACACCTTCAACACATGTCAGGGTGATGATGTGCCATCTCATATTTGTTTGGCATTTATTAAAAGCATTTGTGAATGATATTTAATTTCCCTGCGTATTTTTGTATTTAAAATTTTTTTGAATCCCTTTTCTTTTAGTGTTTTTAAATACAATATTGCTGCAAGTGTTCACAAACCTTGACTCTATACATGTTACAACTTGAATGCATAACCTTGTTTATAAATGAGGTTATACTAAAACATTGTTTTTTCTACCACAATGTCCAGATATTTTATTTTAAAGCTGAGAGCTTTTTTGAGATTCTGTGCTCAATAACTGCTCACAATCTTGAGAATTGATAACCAAAATACAATTTGGAAACTAATACATTAAGTTGTCAATTTCTGTCAGAAATACAGTGTCAAGTATTGACTACACACTGTTGCAAATCCAGGATTTCTTAAGTGGTGATAAATTATCACTATCCTAAACTTTCTCCATCAGGTCTGCAGTAGCCTCTTTATAAGCTGGGACCTGTTCAAGGAGCATCTAATATGCCACACAGGAGACAAGCCCAACCATTGCACCATGTGTGACCTATGGTTCACCGAAGCCAAAGAACTCAAAGCTCATCTCAAAGACGTACATTCTATTGAGGAGAGGTCAACGGAGCAGCTGGTCATCACCGACTCTTCTGCATCTGCCGCTCTTGCCATAGCCACTCAAAACCTGGAGGGTGGTGAAACAGTCCTGCTTGATGATGGCATTCACGTGGAACATGTCACAGTGGAGCCCATGGACGTTATGCAGGTGGATGAGACTACAACTGTCGTGGTGGATGATGGAGGAATGGGTGGGATATGTGAGGAGGATTTAGAAAGACTAAAGCAGGCTGGGTTGCAGATCCAGGTGGTTCATGTAAACACAGAAGCAGCTCATGAGGAGGTCAAAGCTGAGGTGGAAGTAGAGATTGGGGAAGATGTGTTGAAACTAGAAGAATCCGATCAAACGGTGACTGTATGAAAATAATCCTGGGGTTCTTTTTTTTCTTTTCTTTTTTGTTATGGACATATGTGAATGACACATTTCTTTAGATTCAGTTGTGAAATCAAATGTCTATCCATGTTTCTGCTTCTCTGAATCTTTTAAAGGTTCCCATAATCAAGATTTCTCTAAGCTATTGTATTTATTTTAAAGCCGTTTTCCACATCAATATTCAGTCTTTAATATTTTAGCAATCACTTTTCATCAAATTTTCTCTGCCTATTAAATTGTTTATTTCAAATCAGAATATGTGTAATTACTCCTACTGTTGTCCTTTTTTTACTTTCATTTTTGTTGTTTTTGGAGGTGTTTTGTGAGAATTACAGCTATAATATTAGGTTTTGAGAATGGGATGGTCTATCTTATCTACATCGAAGTCTTTTTTTTTTTTTTACTTGTCATAGCACCTCTCATCAAGTTCTGTAGAAGTCTATTGATTGGTGATCATGAAGAAGGCGACACACCTTGTGTCCGTGGATTGCTGGTTGAATTTCTCTTCTGGCGAACTACTTCAGTTTTTTACTGAGCTTACGTTTGAATTCAATATCCTATGTAAAGACTTGCAACCCAAATGCAGTTTTGTAAGACTTATTTTAAAATGTTTTGTCCTGATGCAGTTTCCCAAGCTACTCAAAGTGACAAGCTTGAAAAACAATCTCCATCCTACTTGAAAGTGAGCCTGAAGTGCAATTACAAGTACTCCTTTTTTCTCTCCTTTTAACCAGAATTCAGTTGTAGTCATATTTATTTATTTGTTAAAAGCTCTGTATTAGTTTCAGGACATGGATCCAGTTAAGATCTTAATTGTTTGGCAAATTTCACATATTTATATTTGTGCTGAAAGCACATTTCCCCCCCCTTTTTTTTTAATTGCATTACTATCCAAAGAACCAGGTGGCATGTAGATAGCCTGCTATAGTTGTTACCTGCTGACTTCAAGACTACTTAAAGGTTCTTAATGACCTTTAATTTATTTTCCTTACTAAATTTACATTCTCACAATGCTCGGGCAGGACCTTTTTATCATGCAATATTTATATTCCTGGACAGCTGGCAAGGATGACAAATGAAAAGTCTGTAAATTTATCAGTTTAACACTGCTCTTTATTGCATCTATAATCTGGTGTTCATAATCCACATTTGCTTTTTGAGTCTGGTCTTCACAACTGACTGGAACAGCTCCTAAACAATGGTAGAAAACAAAAACATTTGCAGGATTTCTATAATTAAAGGTTTACATTTTAGAGAGATTCATTACCTTATTAAAATAAAAGAATATGAAATAATTTTACATATATTTATCAGTAGCTTGCATAGGCTTAAAAAAACACAACACTTTAACCCTTGTTATGCCAGTCAAATTTAAAGCAATAAAATGGCCCTCCATGTTCTGACCCCAGTCTGAAGCTCTGCTGCTGTCTTTTACTGCCACCGTGGGCTCACGCTGCCTGACGCAGTAAGGCTCTTCTACTTGCAGCGTCCATCCCGTCTGCTTATTCCGAAAACGGCTCCCCTACTTCTAAAATAAAATGCTCCTAATTCTCCCCGCTAATTGGATACGGCACGCCAGTTTGAGCCTTATTGAAGCCATCCTATTGGCTCTTCCACCTGTCCATCAAACGGATTTCCTTGACAACGGAAGGAGCCAGGCAGCGGCTGCTACAGAGAGACTGTGCGCCCAATGTCACCGGGCGTTGGAGATAAGATGGAAATGACACCCAGGTTGGTAAACATGACTATTACGGATTCACGAAGACAGTTACAGCCAAGTCAGATTAACTGACATGTGTAGGCTTAGATATATGCTTTTTTGTGCTTTAGGTTTAAACAGGTCGGTTAGTAGGAACCGGCCCACTGAGATATATAGGTTTACTTGTGAAGAGACGCACTTAAAGATTTATTTCTGCGAAAAAAATATCACGAAATCGAAGTTTTAAGAAATTAAAGAAACAACAAGCTGACTGTTCTCTTGTGGCAGAATTTATATCGTTTATAAATCGAAGGAGGTCCATGTAGCATATTTATTACCTGTCGTGCCTTAGTTGGCTGCTCTGAAAGGCTAAATATAAAAACAAATACCTACCTGATGCAGAGGGGTTTGTTTGCTCCACCTGTGGCAGCTGGTAGATTTAAACAAATCAAAGGTTAAATTTGCATGTCAGGAACAGTTACTCATTCACGCCTTGGTGAATGAGTATGCTGCTCCTTACACTAATCTCTAGATAGACTGAAACCAACACAAGAGGAGAATTTAGTTTGTTCATCAACAGTAAAGAGACTGAGGATGTGATGGATTAAGAAGGGAAATTTCAGTCATTCATCTATGAATCCTGCTGAATAACTTTCCATAAATTTTAAAAACAAAAATGACCCCCTTTTGGTGGTTCTTTTTATGTCCACCTGCAGGAAATCTTTTCTTAATTTTATTCTTTTGATGATTAATCAATCAGAGCACATAAAACATTTTTTGCTTCATCCGATTCTTTTCTTTGATGCAATCCTCTTTGATGTGTTGATCGGGAATTAAATGCAAAACTCAGCTCTTTAAAGCTGGAAGAAATACATTTGATCTACTGCATGATTTTTATTATTGTGCTTCCTGTTTAGAGTGTTATGGTAACTCCATTAAGGCCTCAGAGGCATATACTGTGTAGCCCTCTAAGGTTTTCACTCATCTTTCTTGAGTCTGTTTTGTGTATCCATGGAAAATCTGTATTTACTTAACACTGATGGTGGTCAGGCATCATAGGAGCAGAGCCACAGATTCACATTTTCCTACACTGAGTATTTCAGAGGGCCCATATTTACAAATACATTTCAGAATGAAGGCTTAATGTTAGTATTTATTTTAGATTTAAGATTGCTAGTAAAAATAACATTTGGTGTAAACATTGTTACTATGGTGTCTGTGAATTATGTAAACATAATTCTGTAGAGAGATGCAAGAAAGCTTAAATAAAATAATTTAAATATTTAACTTATGCTAACTTTCTGTCTTTTCCCCTCCCACATGAGATTGCTCTTGCAAACTGGTAGTTTTTTAGTATGATGCATTTAGACTTTGATAAAAGATTGCTTTTCAAGTTTCTGGCAGATTGCTATATCTGTTCAACGCCTGAATTCTGAATTTAAATTAAATTCTAATTCAAAATACTTAATTAAACTCAAGAAGAAATCAAATGCAGGTGCTAGTATTATTGAGTTTTTTGAATAACTGTTGGCAGGACAGATCTCCCTTAGCAGTTCATCCAGCAGTCTCATGAAGAGATTGCTCCGGGTTGGCATGGATTTTCTTTTTATAAAACAGAAGTCTTTGCACAATCGTCTCCAGAGATCTTTATAGTCTAGTGATTTAAAAAAAAAAAATTATTTACAGTGTTTGACGCTGCCACCCAAACAGATGATGTAAGAAGAGGTTAATGACAGACTTGTAATACACATGCTTCACCTTACTGCAAACACTGAGGGACCTGAACCGTCTCAGGAAGCACGGTCGGCTCTGGCTTTCCCTTTATTGCTCGCCATGCTTCTCTGTTAACTTGCCGTGTACATGGTTGGAGAAAACACTCCTCATTGGGAAATGCTCTTAGTTGCTGAATGGAAACATGAAGCCCTACAGAATGAACCCCATTGGGAGAGAAACCCCTCATGTTAAAGTTAAGAGCCTAGACTAAAAATATCTGGACTCCTGCATATGCTGATCTATTAGTAACTTATTATTAATTGAAAATTAATCTTAGAACTGTAAGTATACAGTAATATGTACACTTGTATACACTTGTGTATACAAAATGACCAAATAAATCGAACTGAGTCTAAGTGTAATAATAAAATTATCCCTTGTGGCACACAACATTCCACATAAAAAGATTTTTTCTCTGAGGGAATCAAATCAAATAAATATATAAAAACAGTAATATGCTTTTTTTTTTTTTTTTTACTATTTTTCAATACTTTTAAAAACTTTTAAAATACTTTTAAAAACATGAAATTGTCCAGAGAGCTGTTCCAAACGAAATTTCTTTTTGTTTTACACTTGTGTAAACAAAATGACAAATAAAATCTGTTTAAGTCTAAGTCTCTAAATCAGGTTCAGGTCCTTTAACTATAATGGGGATTTTCAGTATTTTCTTTGTTTTCTGACAGAAGAAGAAAGAAATGTGCTTGAACAACGTTTCGGATATTGGGGGTTATATTAAAATAGTGGCAAGTGTTTCATTTGCAGAACAGATCGTTGGCCATACTGTTAGTTTTCCCTTTTCCTTTGCATACATGAAATATTTGCCAGGAAAAATCCAGTGCAATCCCTCTTTTCCCAGGCTCTTATAGTTTTTATGTTGCACTATTTTACCATTAAGCTTTTTAATACTTTAAGCCAGGCATTTTAGTTTAAAAAAAAATGGGATAACAGTTTGTGTCGAGAGAGCCCTTTAAGGCACAAATAGTTGTATTACAGATGACTGTCTAATAGAGGCCTCATTTTTTTTCATTTTTTCAATCATGCAATTTTTTGAAGAGAAAAATCATTTTTTTGTACTTTTATATACGAAGAGCTCCTTTCGATATATCATAGCTTTGATGGGGAAGCGGCTACTTTCTGCACTCTCTTTGTATTGGCAATCACAAAACAATAATTACGTTGGGAAAGGAAGGATAACAGGTGGAAAAAGCTATAATTGATCCACAGCTGCTGTGAATGAGCTGCTTGAGTTCTCTGTTGCTGTAAAAGGTGTGAAGAGGCTGCTGATAGCAGCAGAGCAATCAGCAGGAGAGTGAGCAGCACAGGCTGATGCTTGCCTTTAGGGATGCTTGAGGAAATGATTGTGCTATACGGAAGGACCCCCATACTTGGCAAAGCAGATTGTTTTTACAGATATGCTGTCTGCAAACCTCTATACTTCTTTTTTCTTAATGTGGAATGGTTCCTGTTAATTATATTTGAAAAGCTAGAAACATTAAAGATTTTGCTAAATCATCAAAGATATAAATGTGCATAAATGAGATATCTGTTTACTTATTTAATATACAACAAATAAATACAAAACATATCAATATAAACATGGCCCAATAGTAATTAGTAACATTTTGTATGGGGCTGCAGTATTCCACAGTCACAGTTGTTACTCTGTGTTTAATTGGCAAATAATTTCAAGTAATCTTAAAAAGTAACAATTCAAAATCACAATTTCTATTCAAACCTGTCTGTTAGGGTTAAATGATAATAGCCTCTTATTGTTCCAGAAATAACCAACACAAACACACAGGTTACTTTTCTGCAGAAGAGGAGAGAAGACATAGATGGAGAATTTTCACTCCCTGAAATGTCAGTGGTCAACTCTGCTGGGACATCTCTGTCCCCTGCCTTTATTGTCAGACTTCAAATGAGTAACAGGAGGGATCAGAAGTTGTCAGGAGGGGTCAGAATTCATAATGTCAAATGTCATAAATCATGAAATTTCTATGTGCAGTTTTATTGTATATGGTGATCAGTCTCCTGTGACAACATTTGCTCTCCCTGTTTAAAGTTAAAACACAACAACATTCCTAGCAGGGCAAAAGCCCATAAGTTAAAACAAATATAATGATCATATTTACATTTTTCTAAAACTGTCACTGAACCAGCCTGACTGCCAGGTAAAAAAAACATTGAACCAAACAGTTTAATGAAGCACATTGGTTCTTTAAATACTAATGTACTAATCTGTAGACTCAAAGCAATTCCCTGATTTAGGTTTTATATTTTTAAACATGGTTGCAGGTTTGACATTATTAAAACAAACAATTTCTATAAATTTTTGAATCCTCTAGAAATGGCTAGATTTGTTTCAGTTAAATGTATACCAAATTCATCCTATGCTCAGCAGGCAGCTTTAGTCTTTCACCTTATTAATATGAAAGGCAGCACATGCTGCCTTGAGCTGTAAAGTGGAGGTTTCTCTTTTCTTAAAATGTCCTTTTACCCTGCTTGAGAGATCAAAGCCTAGAAATGCATGTCTCAATGGAAAGAAAGTGTTTGAAGACTAAAAGATTCAAAGCTTAACAAAAGAGAACTGCTTCAATTTTCAGTTGAGCCCGAAGGAAAGATTAATATACTTTAATATGTATTCTTTTTTGTAACTGGTTCTGTGTCTGCTGCATAGCGGTTGGGTTTTAATAGTAACTTGTAATGAACTTGTTTGGAATTTTCAGTAAAAAAAAATTTATGTACAAATTAACAAGAAAAAAACTCACACAAATTCACTAAGCTTTAGTGAATTTGTTTGAATTTTAGTGTCTTGTGCCGAGATGCTGTGGTGTTTAGTAACTGCCGTACGATATATTTGCGAAACAATTGATTCATACATTTTGAACTTTTCCATTTTGTCACATAGAAGGACTTCCATTTATTGCATTGGGATTTTGTTTTTTAGACCGATTTAAAATACGGCATAATGTTGAAAAAATCAAGTTAAGAGTTGAATAGTAGCTAACTAGTATCTTGTGTCCACTTGATACTTATTTCTAGAATATTTACAGTTTGTTATTTAAAGTGTTTGGTTAAATGCAGAGTTATAATCAATCAAATACTATTGTAACTTTCTTATGATTAAAACTACTTAGATATTATGTTAAACAATTAGTTCTTATCAAAATTAAACCATATTGTGCCTTTTATTGCATCCTAAATTTATATATAATAATATAGAGTCACTATTTTAATTGCATCTGACTTAAGGTCACTATTTATGTTTTTTAACCAAACAAACTTGATATTTATGAAAAAAAATGTAAACATGTGTATTACATAAGCCTGGATCAGTTTTACTGTAAATGTCTTCTGTTATTCCTCATGGGGCATTGTTAGAGCTTTGTTTTTCTGAACAGCATTCAATCATCGCCTACTTCTTAATCAACCACACCACCACACTAATGCACAAGCAAAAAAAGCTGACAGTGATCATTCTGCAGTTGAATGATAGGGCTTAGTCGTTCAGACATATTCTTTTTTTTTTCTTCTGCTATTTACAATTCTGGATTTGTTTACCCCAGCTGCCATAACAACCTGAATAAATCAGTTAGCACTTAATTATGAATTACAAGACACATTATCGGTCATTGAAGTGCAATAAGAACAGGTACAGCTCTCAAGACATGTATATTAGCTTTTTATGCTAAGGGGATCTAAAATGTGTGTTATTTTCAAGATCTGCTAAGGTTTAAAACAAGAACACAGGTGGTAAACAACATTATCTGAAGAAACCAGTTATATTATCATGAGGAGTCAAAATGGTCTAAATCACATATTATTTATGAAATGCAATGAATTGAAATGTGTGCATCTATTTGTTTTGTTTTTCAGTTTGTCGTGGCTGTCATCCTGTGGCCTCACCCTGACACAATCACCTGTTCATCCTCACCCTTTCAACCTCTCACATCCTTCTCCTCTTCCCTCCTCCTCACCCTGTGGCCTATTAATACCCCACAGACACAAAAGGCTCCTTTAAAGCCCCTGCCGACTGCAGCGAGCCTGAATCTGATAATACGTGCTTCGCTGGTTCTTTGGACACAGCAATAGGTGAGGGAAAGTGGATGATCGAAAGAAGACATTTAAAAATTAAAACAGCAGAACAGCTTTAAGCCTCCAGTGGCGAAGTGAACAGATCATCATTTTTTGGCTGTTCTCATCTGCAGCTTAACTAAGACTTTTTGGGGAGAGTGGCTCTTCAGATACAAATATGTATAGAAATATTAAGCAAGTTTTTTTCAAAAAGAAGCTGTAAATAATCTGTACTGAGTTGCCTGTACAACAACAATGCAAAGACACATATGAAAGGATTAAAGTTGGAAATGGCTCACACACCTAAAGGTAAGTCTATATATTTGGCCTGTGTAGTTAAGCCAGCTTCTACTCAGTATATCATAATCAAAATATATAAGCAGATACTTACTGGCTATCTGCTTATATTTTCCATTTTATCTAAGTACGTTAATGCTTTTTTAGTTTTTAGTATTTTAGTTTCTATTTATTCATGTTTATGCTAATATGATTATTATTGGGGCTCAATGGTGGCGAATGGAAATGAAGGTCCTGGTTTCTAATCTGGCTTTAAGTTTTTCTGCATGGACTTTGCATGTACTTTTGTGCATGAGTAGGTACTGCAGTTTCATCCCACAGTCTATAAATGTGACTGTTTGGTTGATTGCTTGGTCTTACTTGCCCTTAGGTGTACATTTGTGGGTGTACATTTGTGTGTGTGTCTGGGTGTGTGTGTGTGTGTCTCCCTGTTGCCCTGCAATGGACTGGCGAGCTAACCAAGGTGTATTCCGCCTTCTGCCCATAGACTACTGGAGATGGCACCAGTCAACCCCCCTGACCTTGCCCAAACCTGACAGACAAGCAGTTGAAGATGGATAGATGACTGTTATAGCCTACAAGCTGAGATTAATTCCTCTTTCAGAAACAAATGACATTAGATGAGACCTGTAGAAAAACTATCTTACAGATGTTAGCATAGAGTTACTGTACAGTAAGCACTCACTACCTGGTCAGGTTTGCTTTTCCGATTAATTTCACCATTCGTTCATAGCTGTGTGGAAGCGATCTTCCTGTAACTGCAGGGATGTTAAGGAAACCAAAGTTGCTTTTTTTAAAAGCTATGATTTTTGCGGGAAAGTGGTTCAACTTTCATTTCTGTCCAGCTTTCCCCACAAAGCCAAACTGGGTCGAAATGCAAAAAAAGTAAAAAAATATATACATTCACAAACAGGCCTAAATGCAAAAATGCAAAGCTATAATTGTTTTAAACAAAGCTTCACCAAATCATGACCAACCTGCACATGATGCTCCTAAAACAAAGCAGGTGAAGGATTTTGATATAAAATATGATGGAAACTATGTTTAAAGAAAAGAAAATGCAGCCACAACAAGTGATGGGGTTCTTACAGAGTTTTTTGGTACAATATGCAGAAATACATTTTTAATGTAATACTAGGGAGGTGCGATGCAAACACCACTGTAAAAGTGAGTCACAAAAGAAACATGCAGCTGAAAAAGCTACGCCTGTCCAGCATTGTCCCTCATTAGTATCCTAGTTGTCCCACATTTGTTTTTTCAGATCTGGTCGCCCTGTTTGTTGCCTTTAGCTCATCTTTATTGTTTGAATGTTCATTATATATTGGTCTTGACATTACTCAATAGCTTGTTCAGAAAGTTTAGCAGAGATAATTGTGCTGGCCAATCAGGTGTAGTGGTATCATAGTCATTAAAGGGGTCATAGAATGATTATATAGAGTGCTAGTCCCTAAGGTCTCTGAATAGGGTGTGTAACATTGGTTGGGCTGAAAATGCCATATTTGTTGTTCTATGGGCCTTAATTTAAGCCTTAAGCCCTAGAATGAACCGACAGGTTTTCTTCCTTTTATTGTATGGTCGTGAATATTTAGATGAGCTGCGCGCTGATTGCAACAAGCACTCACTCACTGAAACATTGATACTTTGGGCACTGAGGGGTAGGATCTTAGTCCTGCTTAAAAATGAAATTTGTGTTTCCATAAAGCTTGTCATCACAGAGAAGTATGAAGCATTAAACGTTCTGTCAGTCATTTGTTCTGACTTTGGACTTGATAAAAAAACAGCAGACCAACACCAGTAGAGGACATTAATGCTCATAACACCACAGACTGTAAACTGTTTACCTTGGATCTCAATCAGCTCGGATTCTGTTCCTTTCCTCTATTCCCATTGACTTTTGGACCTTAATTACCAAATTAAGGAAAAAAATTTACTCTAATCAAAAGAAAGAAGAAAGAAAAAAGAAATAAAAGGCTTTGGAAAGATGCATAACTGTCCTGCTTTTTTTTTTTTAGCAAGTAAGAGTTAATAGAGTAAAGATGGTGTCTGTGGTTCAGGACTTTGTTAACACAAGGAATGTGACAGCTGTATGTTGAATAGCTGCAGTGGCTGTTTGTAGCAGTGACTCCAGTTGCAGTCCATACCTAGTTTTTCTAGATGTTTTTGGCTGTGTTTCTTCCTGTTGGTTCTGTACCGCTGTTCTTGCACATTTTATGCTTCCATTTACCATTCTTTCTGGCTACCATCAGCTTCTTTATTAAAGTGTTTCTCAGGCTCAGCCTCCTTGTGGAGAATGTCAATTCAACTGCCATGCCTGCAATCTTCCCGCTGCTGTGTGGGCCCTAATGTAATTTTTTCTATCATTAGCTGTAAATTATTACCATCAACTTAACAGATGTAACCTTATTTTACTTCACTATGTTACAGTTAGATGTTAAAATGAACTTTTTGATTTTAACATATCAAAACGGACCTGTAAAATGAAAGTGGTCAGATAGGTATCTTAAAATCAATTACAAAAAGCAAATCTGTTATTTAAAAAATAACTGAGGAAAGTATCTAATGTAAAGGGAATTATAAAATTTTACATACTGTTTTCTGTTCTGCTTTTTCCCTAGCTATGGTCTAAGCCAGCTCCATCCTGAGAGTCCCCCACAGGATGACTGCTGTCTACCCCTCTGAGAGCAGCCCAGATGGTGCTGAAGCTGGAACTGGGACAGCAGGCACCACTGGAAACAGCTCAGTTTCAGCAGAAGATTCCAGGGAGTCTAACAGAGACTCTGGGGGAGAGTCCACCATAGGGAAAGTTGTAGTTGCTGGTGGTCAAAAGTATGCTCGCTGGAGTCGCCAGGATAGCTCTGACATTAACACAGACGATGAGGGGGCCAGTGTCCGCCGCCTAACTCCTCTGGAAAGGCTTAACTTGGATATGTGTCAGGATGAAAGGTAAGATCTGAGAGAAAAAGTCAAGAACATTTTAAGGTCTGAAACTTTGGACTGAATGACTTGCCTTGGACTGCCTTCCTGTTTTCTAACGAATATCAGTGTCACATTAACTCTTCACAGGGTAGTCCGTGAGCTGACAGTGGGGAGAAGAATTGCCTTCTACAAGATTCGTGGTGAGATAGGGTGTGGAAACTTCTCCCATGTCAAACTAGGAATTCATGCTCTTACAAAAGGTAATCAGTACGATCAATGTCATGTGGCTGAACTCCAAATATGTAAGACAAATAGAAACCAATCACATCTCTAAAACTTTAAAGGTCCCGTATTATGCATTTGAAAAAAATATATTTACCATGAGCCTGGAAAATTCCTCTCAAATTAGGCAGACAGCCTTTAACAATAAAAATCCTTATTCAATCGTCCTCTGAATGAGCTGTTTTGGTTTTCCACTGTCCTCCAGAAGGCTGCATCCCCCCAACCTGCAAACATGACAACCAGCAAGAGCTTGTAAAGATAGCTTAGGACCGTGGAATAATACATAAGATGAAGGCCGGATCTTGACCAATAGGCTGCAACAGGCCGCTTTGGACTGCTTGTTTCGCATCATGACATCACAGTGGGCATGCTTTTCAAACTCAGCATTTTAAGCACAAATTAGCTAAGAGGTGGAGAAAGGCATTGAAAGAGGGGAACAGGTTATTTTCTTTTATGAACTTCATACAGAGGCTTCAGGACACATTTCGACTATTACAAAATCTTTATATTGTGAAATTTGCATAATATAGAACCGTTAAAGTAATCCTACTGTACTGCCAAGAGTGAGTTGTTTTGATCACTGAACCCTCACTTTAAGAAGTCTTATGTTACAGTCAGTACTCGAGTTCAGGGGGGATGAGGGGGATGGCAACTCCCTTCTTAAAATAATCTTAAAAATCATCCCTCTGCTTAAATGACCATCCCCTCATACCATCCCCTGTGACATTTTATTACCGAATGTGTAACATTTCTACTACCGTATATATTAACCTTAATGGCAGCAATATTGCCCTTTCAACATTTGGCGGGCTGTGGGCTTACAAGTAGCCCGAGCAAAATAAATAAAATCAAAGAAGTGGCCTACCATGTCTATGAAGCTGATCCCAGTAGGAAATTAGTCCCTAACTATGTAGGGGCAGTGATAGCCATGCCAGTCCAGGGACTGACTGCAGTTCTACTGTAAGGTGCCTTGGTCAAAGGTCAATGACTGGTGTACCTGGCATGAAACATCCATACCATACATATTGCTTTAGGTTAATATATTCATTAGGCTATGCGTGCTACAAAATAAAATAAAAAATTTACCACCCCCCTTATTTTTTTTTTTTTACAACTAGACTACTGGTTGTAGTAATTTATGATGTAACATTTTCCTGGTAAGGGGCTGATTCAGCCAATGAGAGAAAGACACTGCTCTTAACCAGACAGATTGATTAGGTTTCTCCAGTTTCCTTAGCAACAGCTAAAATTGCTGCATGCCTCATGAAAGGCTACAGATGGAGTCACAGGTCAGTGTGTATTTCTATTAGATTGTGGGTGCTCTATGTAGGTTTGTTTAGCTTATTCCTGCCTCTCCCTACTATGGTTGAACATGTGCATTTCAACTGTAGATCTCAATCTAGGACAATAAGCGCTAGACTCCATTTTGAATGCTCCTATTAACAGCTATATTGCATCTGAAACTGAGCCTAATACCCGTCTTAATAATTCATACAGAAGCACAATGATATGTCTCAACACCATTTTGCTGCATCAGAACATTTCTGTATTCGGTTACTTGAGAGCTGTTTTAAGAATCTCTATTAATGATTTAAAGGCACACAGCCAGCAGCTTAGCAATTGAAATTTAATATTTGCAAAGTTTATGGATCTTACATTTTATTGTTTTGGATTGTAGATTCATTATGCTTACAACTTAACTCTTACGTATTTCAAAAAGATGTTCCAATGATATATAAAAACAAAATGTCTCAAAAAACGTTATATTAGAATATATCTGCCTACTTCTGAGCAGGCTTACAGAAACACTCCACTTCTATCTTTTTTTGATTAAATCCATTGGATAATACTAAATGGTTCAATTGTTCTCATACCTATTGTTCTTTACTATGGCTCTCTGAGTAATATAACTCTATCAAACCCCTTGTAATTTTCACAAAAACAAATTAAGTAATAAAAGTATGAATAATTCATGCTGATATTGTATCAGTTCATATCAGTACAGCTCAAAACCCAAAGCTGCAATATGTTGCACCAGAAAATGATGGTAGGTTGGATTCCCCCAATTAAAGGTTAACACACAACCATTCATGTGTGAATGGTGAGCAGGTGTATTAAATCTGGTGTCACTGCTGTTGCATGGTTAATAATTAATTAATAAATCAATTAATTAAAAATCCTCTTTAAGGAACATTTGGCTATCAGATTATTAATCAATTAATCAAAAAAATAATTGATTGATTGATTTGCAAAATAATCATTAGTTGTAGCCCTTGATTCCGGTAGCAATCTGTGAAACTCAAATGAACGCCATGCCCAGGAGGTTTAAGGATGTCTTGGTAAATATGGTGGCCACACAAATTGGACACTTTGAGGAACTGTTGGACATTTTTACTGAGGGGTGTTTTCACTTTTTTTTGCTAGGCTAAATGTTTAGTTACTTAGAGTGGAAATTTACAATGCTATGCAGAGTTTCATATCTTTAGTGTTGTCCCAAGAAAATATATAAAAAAAAATATTTACAAAAATACAATTGTACTTACTTTTGTGACACCATTATATTTTAAAAAAATTAATCTGATTACATTCACAATGCCTTACTCTCAATGCCTTATTTTTCATATCATGCCTATACCTATAATATATCTTTTACAAATGCTGTCGTTCAGTTAGCTATGAAAATACATGATAGATTTTTTTTTCAGTAATATCATAGATCCATAACTGATGATCAATTATTTCCTTGTCAGACAAAGTGGCCATTAAAATCTTAGACAAAACTAAGCTGGATCAGAAGACGCAGCGGTTACTTTCCAGAGAGATCTCCAGTATGGAAAAACTACACCACCCCAATATAATACGTCTGTATGAGGTTTGTCTTTAGATTTCCTTTAATCTTCTGATCTTTTAAACCAGCCTTCCTCATTCTGACCAAGCTTTTCCTCTAAAGGTGGTGGAGACCTTGTCACGGCTACACTTGGTGATGGAGTTTGCAGGTGGAGGCGAGCTCTACACCAAGATTACTACAGAAGGGAAACTTTCTGACACTGACAGCAAGATTGTCTTTGCTCAGATCCTCTCTGCTGTTAAACACATGGTCAGTACATACAAGCTAATGGTGATGGGATATGTATTGAGAAAGAATAGCATTAAATTCTTAGTGAATTTGCTGATATCCTGAATTAGCTACATGGTCTCGCGGCATTGGCTAATGGAACAATGCTTTTTGCTATCAAATAAACATTTAAACAGTATAATGCAAAAGGCTACTTTCACACTGCAAGGGAATGTTATCAAAATCATTGGCGACTCATATCAGACTTTTTTACTACAGCCTAAATGGCTAATTTCTGATCTTTATACTCCCTAAAAAAAATCCAATTTGAGCCTCTTTCATATGGATCTCTAAATCTGATCCTTCTCTGATCTTATCTTAAAGTTGTAGGGAAGTCATATTTAAATGTCGAATCATTCTGGCTTAAACATGTATATAAATCTACTCTTTATCAGACGATATTGTCCCAAAAGTTAGAAAATGTTTTTTTATTTATTTTTTTATTCTGTCTTAAAATCTGTTTTGTTTTCTTTCATTATCTTATGCATGCCAGTTAATTATAAGTCAGCTTGAACACCTAAATTCGGCCAATGATATATCAACGGTCATCTGTCATTCAAATTTTTTCGGTCATAGCATCTTGATTTATATACGCAACGGTTAAAATAAGAACGTCCCAGTGTTCATGGGGATGGACGTCTGTGTCTTTAGCAGGCGTAGAGCTAACAGAACCGGCAGCGTTGCAAGGAAGGGACTCAAACATGTACGGCTGTAAGCCTTCTACACCAAACAAAGCTTCTACTGCCCTGGCGTCCTCTTCCACAATAACTTCGTCACTGCTTTCCTCCTCTGAATAAAAAATGTATGATGGAGGAGACTCATCCACGACCTCCGACTCAAAACTCTCCTCCTCTTTCATGTTTCCGCTATCCATAGCGTTCCTTGACAGTGTCGTTGCTAAGTGCTACTTGGTCCCAATGTAATTTCCCATTGGGAACCTACTAGCACTAAGTTGCTAACTGGTTGGCAAGATGCTTGTTGTGTGAATGTAGCCATAGTTAAAGTCTGGTTTATGAAAGACTAGGTATTAGGGAGGACTTGATAAAGTCCTCTTGAAAGTAAATTCTTTCACTATTGTAAAGTTACTCACAACCACAACCACAGCACTGCTGTATTTGCATGAATCAATCAAAAGTCAGACAATTTATTTCTTCCTTTGCTTCTTTCCTTCCTTTCTTCTGAATAGTTTTTTTTTTATTTTAATTTCCTTCACTATGATCTAATCCTTATGACACTATACCATAAAATATCATTAATAGCTTTTTTGTTAAACTATCGCATATTACTTACATGTGCATAACTACAACATCCAATTAGCAAATCAGTCTTTTTCTAGAATTATTGGAATCATAATAACTTGCAGTGCATTACGTGTTGATTTATTTAAGGTTATTTAATTGTATAATATAATTGTATAATACTGCCCTGTTTTATCTGGAGTACTCTACCCTTGGATGAATCTTGCATAGGTAGATGATTTGTTTATAGATTTCTTTTGTTCTCCCATAGCATGAAAACAACATCATCCATCGTGACCTTAAAGCAGAAAATGTTTTCTACACAAGCAGCTCTTGTGTCAAAGTTGGGGACTTTGGATTCAGCACACTGAGCAGCCATGATGAGATGCTCAACACTTTCTGTGGTTCTCCACCCTATGCTGCTCCAGAGCTCTTCCGGGACGAACATTATGTTGGAGCTTATGTAGATATTTGGGCTTTGGGAGTCATGCTGTTTTTTATGGTGACAGGCACCATGCCATTCAGGGCAGACACTGTGGCCAAATTAAAGAGATGCATCATGGAGGGGGCCTACACACTGCCCTCATGGGTGCCAGAGGCATGCCAGAGGCTAATCGGGGGGATTCTCCAGCCCATTCCATCTGACCGCTATACGGTGGAGCAGATGATGGGCTGTGAGTGGCTTCTCCCTGTGGAATTCCCATGTGCCATGGAGCCCTTTAAACTAGATCCATTTCATCTCGCCGAGAGCAAACCAACAGAACTGCAGGAGGAAGAACTGGAGGTAAAGGCTGCATTAGAGACTCTAGGAATCACTTCAGAGCACATCCTTAACAACCAGGGGAAAGACTGCAGAAGCTCCATCACTGGGGTCTATCGGATCCTACTACATCGGGCTCAGAAGAAAAGGGTTGTTGAGAGGGCCCCTGCTGTCACACAGAAAGTCGGACCGACTACAGCAAATAAGAAGGAAAGGCTAAAAGCGTATCGCAGTTTACGTCACACATCTAAACTTTGTATGATTCTGTGACAAAAAAAAAAATGTATGCCTTGCTATGGAAGGTGACTGATTATATATTCTGGGGTGAAATTGCACAAATTAGGAATAGGAATGCTTTTCAGTCCGTAGGTAGAAATAAAACTAAAGATAATATAAAAACTCACTCAGCTGCTGAAACTTGATATTTCTTACTTACTATCTTTTATTTTTCCTCTTAATCTAGTCTCTGTGAGATGTGTCGGAAAGTTGAATGATATACTTTATTTTTCAGAAATTCAATTCTTATTAGATTTGAAATTATATGGAATGTACATTAGTTATTTAACAGAATCGTTATATTGCTAATGAATCTGAGTCATATAGACAATATACTTCTAGTTTACATGCTTTATATATCAGAAACTGAAAAAAATCAATGACATGGAAAGTAAAGCATACATTCAATACATTAAATATGATATATTTGATGTTTAGTTGCACCTTACTCCAATGCCTTAAGTCTTTTTATTGTTTTGAAATCAGAATGGTTTCAGTGCTGTTTATGAAATTACAAGGAGAATGTTCACATATGTGGTGTATCTCTATGAGATGTTACAAATATTCACCTCACTGACCTCCATATGTTGGATTTGGACTTTAAGATGTTGCTTTATTAAAACAAGCTTTCAGTACACATTTACAGACTGACAGAACACGAATCAGCGGGGTGACACATTATTTGTAGGTTTCAGGAATGAGACAAATTATCTCAGAATATCAGGTTTTCCTAAATCATGCAATACCATGTCAATGCTAATGTGCTTTTTGAAATAAATGTGAAGTAAAAACTAAACTGCTTCTGTTTATTAATGAACTACTGGCTGACATTTAGGATTGTGGAGTATAAATTATATATACTTTAGCTTTGAATATCATGCAGTTTAAGAAGTTTTGATATGAATTTTAAGCTGATAAATGCACAAGTTCCTTTAACAATGGCTAAAAGGCTGCATTTAGCTAAATTATTTTTTAAATAAAATTATGACATTAGAATATCATTTTATTTGTTTAAATTGTAAAAAATTATTGAGAAAGAAGCAGAAGGGAAGAGATCCTTTATACTAGATTAATAACTGGACATACCTACTTAAATGAGTTTTTGTTTGTAGTAGGGAAGGGAAATAATGATATATGTGAGGGTTGTGAAAGAAAAGAAAATGTGGATCATGTTTTGATGTAATTAATACTTTTTTGAAGTAATTATGGAAAAAGGGAGATAATTCAGTATTAAAGGAATTTTAGGGACAGATGGGGATAGGGAGGAAAAATTGGTTATTGATAAAGCTTTGTTTTTATTTGTACATAACACAAAAATACAAAAAAAGAGTATAGTGGGTGGAACTGTAGAGCTACATACTCATGTACAGTAGGTGGCGGTATGCATCTATAAGTTGTTTGCAATCCGCCAATCTAAAGAAGAAGAGCTTCCGCCTTTGCGTGATGACGCATTTTCTGCCCTGTTGGAAGGTGGTTTCAGAAGGAAGCTGTAGCTGTAGACGGTAGCGGAAGAAGAAAAGCTGAGTATAGAAGGCAAACGGCATTGAACAGCTCATTTGAATTGGTGCTACTTTCTGTTATTAAACGGTAAGAAACATCTTTAAATTTCTACCTCTTTTGAAATGCTTTTTGTGCTTCTTTTAAATAGTAGCCACGCCTTTTTCATTAAACTAGAACGAGTCGAGCTAATATAAGTCTGTCGGGCCATAGACATTCCCCTGGTTTGGTTTTGCTAGAATTAAATAAGCTGCAATTTCATGCTATTTCCTCATATAATTGTATTATATGATATAATTTTACACACGTTATTTTACGTTTCATCCTTTAACATATATTGAAATATATCACTTCTGTTGAAAACCATGGTCAAGACGGTTAATGTGAACATTTGTGAGCATTTGAAACGCGTAGTATCAAGCAATTGGTTTTGCGGGTTATTTGTTTTGATACTTGATACTGAATCAGATCTCGTGACATTGGAGGATAAGGGGGCGTGGTCAATTAGCGGATGAGGTAATGGTGAATGTTTGAGATGATGCAACACACGTTTATATACATTCTCTATATTTTGGCAGCTATTGAAACAAGAGATAGCGATATACTTTAAAATCATTCAGGGAATTTTTTGCATGTACAAGATTTGGCTTTATCCTCAGCCTGCAGCCCCCACGTGGAGCCAAATGCAGTCAAAGAGAAGGGGCCCCTTTGTTCTGATGCATTGTTTGAAATACATTGATTGGGAAAGAGGAGCTAGACTCTATCATCTAAAGCACATTTTGTTTCTTGTTTTTTAATATGATTACATGCATACCTATTTATACCAAATGCATAAAGTGTCTATAGTGGAAAACCATGGATACTCGTGCAGCTGGTGATGATGGGTAAGAGTAGTAAAATTACATTGTTTTGATTTTAGTTGAAGTTCACTACTCATTCTTTAGCTCCATTGTGGCTTGGGGAAAAAAATGAATAAAAAATAATAACAATCTGATTAACTTCTTATACGCTCATGTAATAACAGTTTATAATAATAACAATTCATCTGAAAGGGAGTGTTTTAGTTAACTCACCTTTATGATTTTTTTTTTTTAAAGAGTAGTTTTATAGGCTAAAGCTTGTGGATAAAGACTGCTGTCAGTTTTTGGATAAATGTACTATAATCTTTGCTGTATTTAAAATATCTTTATATTTTCACTCATGACACCAAAAATCATATATTATTTTATCCGCATTGTATATGATAAACTAAAACAAAGGGTTAAGGATTTCTTTTTTTTTTTTTAAAAGACCATTTGTGAAGTTCCTGTTTCAGATTCAAAACTGGACTTTGGTCTGAGCTTTGACTGATCCACTTTATCTGTAGAATATGCTGTGGTTTAAAGTGCTATTGTTGCTCTGGATGTGCATTTATTTATTTATTTATTTATTTTATGCTAAGAAGTTAACCCCAGGCCCAGACTGTTTTTAGCTGGCTTCGCTCCAGGAATTCTCAATCCCACAGGATCAGGCTTCCACCACCGTATTTGGCTGGTGTTCAGCCACACATAGAATGCCTTGTTTGTTGGTTGTACAGTGTTTTCCCCTCACGTTAAGGCAGGCTCGGACTGGGAACGATTTTCGGCCCATGGCATTTTTCCATCTACACTGGCCCACTTATGAACCCACTCTGGAGAAAAAAAAAAAAGGAAAAAAAAGCACAATCAAAAGCGTGTCTCAAGTGTGACTGAAATGAAAATATACCTGAAGCAACATCCGCAGCATCCATATTCCAGCACCACTCGCCACATCAGCTGGGTTGCCAGATGTCACTGACTCACGTTTTCCAGCCCAAAAAATCTTCATAAACCACCTCGATATACAAAATCTCGCCCAGTTCGAACCAAAGTCCATTGATCTCTTAGGCCATAAATCTAAAGAAAAAAAAGATAGATTGTTGAATTCCCCCAGTTAAAAGAAAGCAGAACTCACTCTCTCTTTTTATTATCTGTTAACTCATACTGTATTTCTATTGAGTCTATTGTTAAGAGTATTTAAAGAAATTAATTTTACAAATTTTTTTTTATTATTTGATCTTAGATGGCATGACCAAAACAATGATGTAATTGTTAGTTTCCCTATGCTCTGTCACAGATGTCCGTCAGTGAGGACCTTGCAGACATGGATGGAGCAGACCTCTTTGGGCTGCTGTTCCATGATGGCAACAATGGAAGCACTGAGCCCTTTTTTCAGGGTGACAATGACCTTATTGAATCCTGGCTCTCGGAACAAGATGTAAGGCTTCGCAAAGCAGCGACACCTGATCCAAAAAAAAAAACAATCCAATGCAATATATTTATCTTTAATTGTAAAGGATTGAATCTCACTGATTATTTTTGTCATTAGATACTGACCGGTGTGGATACTGAAGATTTCCTGTCTAGCTTGCTAGATGGAGATGACAAGGTGGAGGCATTCTGTCCCTCCCATTCCCCAATGGGGAGCGACAGCGGCATTTCTGATGACAGCAGCTCAGGCGGTGGAAACAACAACGCTCTGGGAAGTCCGCATGGCAGTGAAAGCGACATAGTACCCAGCCCTGGCTACTCTCATCCCAGCCCCGTTCACTCTGATCCCACCCATACTCTGGAGGAGCTGCAAGCAGAAAGCTTTGAGACCCTGTCAGTCCATGCAGATCACAGCTACTCTCTGCTGCAGAGTGGAGCCAGGGACATGGACATGCTGGAAAGCGTCAGGGCAGAGAAGCCAGATGCAGATGTCTTCATTGATCTAGGTAGTTCCCGTTGTGCTTTAAATTCATAAAAAAAAAAAAAAAAAACTAGAGCTTTCACCAGGCAGATCTCATTTATTTAAAATGAATTGTTGGTGTAACAGATGAGCTGGTGAGCGATGCCATGGAGGAAGACTTTACCACCGAGATGCCTTGTACTTTCTCCATAGAAAACTCTGCACAGGATTTAACTCAGACAAGCAAAGCAGATCAGGTTGGTGCCTCCTGCCTACTTACAGTTAGTCCAATAAAGTACAGTTTGATTAACTTTGTTGTAAGGTGTTCATTTGATTGGAAGCAACTCATGATAAAAGAAAATGTTTCATGTTTGATGACACAATCAAGGTTTTAGGATATTGTCTGATTTTTCTCCATCTAGTTCCAGTTTAAAGAGATTGTTTTAACTGAAGAGGAAAAGAGACTTTTGGCCAAAGAAGGAGCCACCATCCCTGAACACATGCCTCTCACTAAGGTAACTGTAAGCTTGCATATGATCACACCCTCACTAAACAGATTTCTGAATTTTTAATTCACATCTAGGGAGGGGTATTTTTTTATTGCATGAAAATTAAAATGTTAATTTAATATTTTTCCATGATTCACTAGTATCATGATTATTGTCTGCTGCATTCATGCACTCAAAGACTGTTTTGCTTTGGGTAACAGGCTGAGGAGAGGACTTTGAAGAGGATCAGGAGGAAAATCCGTAACAAGCAGTCTGCTCAGGAGAGTCGCAAAAAGAAGAAGGTTTATGTTGATGGGTTGGAAAACAGGTAAGGAGCACAAATAATGACACAACTTTGAATTTAAATCTCTGTTTTAAAGTCTAATAAGTGCTCTATCTTTATGGGTGCTCTGATACCACAGGTGATGGAAAAAAAAAAAAAGTGTAAAGCTTTTTTTTCTCTCTTGTATTGAAATAATTTTCACATTTCACACAGACACATGTAGGGAGAAGGGGTCCTCCCAGCATCCACCTACCTTCTCCTAATACTAAATTATTATTTAACTATTTTTTTAGATTGAAATTCTGTGCTCGATTTATTGTGGTGCATAGGGGACAGAAAGCAGGTTTTTAAAATTCTGCATTTATTTAGAAGAAGCAAAGGTAAAAGTGTCCCGTTATTGATATCAGTGAGAACTTTATTTTTCGATTATTTTTTATACACTTTTTAAGGTCCACATTTGTGTGACCACTTTTGCGATAATCTTTTGCTGCTTTAACGCCACAATTTCCCCATGGTGGGAAAATAAAGGGATTTTTCTATTCGATTCTATTCTGAACCAGAGCAAATTAAAAATCTCTGGTGTCCTGAAGCAGTTTAACTTGTCCTGTGTTGTAGTACCTGTAATATTTTTTTTTTCTGAAAAACCCACTGGATTTTATGCAAACTTTTCTATTCTAGGCTTTTTTCTTTATGTTTCTTAAACAGTATTTTTCGAAGAGTTCTTTATTTTTTGTAGTTGCATTGTTTGTTTTTTTTTTTTTGGCTCAACCTCGAATATTATTTTTTTCAAAACTGGTGCTAATAAGGGAAGTCGTGGGACAATTGATCAGATTGTATCTCCAGGGTGTTGGTACCAATACAAAGACACTAATTAGTGAGGGATTTTCTTCAACAGGGTTGCTGTCTGCACTGCACACAACCTGGAACTTCAGAAGAAAGTCCAGCTGCTTCAGAAACAGAACATGTAAGCAAACCTGGATTTTTCTCCCTTGTTCATTGTTTTTTTTAACAAACTTGTCACACTAAAGTGTCCTTCCTGCTCCTCGTAGGTCCTTGATTGAGCAACTGCGGAAACTCCAGGCTATAGTAAAGATGTCTACTCTGAAGGCCAGCACAACCAGCACTTGTGTTATGGTAAATCTTTCTGCTAAAGCTATTTTTTATTTTTAACCATTGGTGTGTTTTTATTTCTCACTGTGATTTTCTTTGCTTTCTTTAGGTGTTCCTGCTCTCTTTTTGCCTCATCATCTTTCCGTCAGTTAATCCATTTGGTGGAAACACTGAACTAAAGGAGCCCTACACACCTTCATCCGGTGAGTTTACTAAAGGCTTTCACTTGTTTTTATTGAGTTTGGAGTAAATGCATCTGTTGTATTACCAGCATAGAACTTTCTTCCTTTGATTTTTGCAGTCCTTTCCCGCACCTTGCGCTCAGTGCCGTCAGAGAACACAGATCCTGCATTTTACATGGAGGCTGAGGAGGATCCACTGATCTTGGTTTCAGAGGTGGTGGAGAACACCAAAGCCATCTTCTCAGGGGGCCAGATGAACCACACCCCTGACTATCAGAGGGTGGAGCAATCCGACTCTGAGACAGGCGTTAACAGCAATTCCTCTGCAGACATCCCCAGTCCAGCTCAGGCGGCAGAGATGAAGCCCGGGTCGCCCGGCGGCGTGGGTCCTTTGAAGGAAGGGTCCATCGATCCTGTGGTGGCGGCAGCAGCTGTGACATATGATGTCCCGGGATCCAAGGAGAACTGGATTGACCGAAACCCCCCATCTGTCATTTTACAGCAGCATCGCTCTGATGAGATGTAGTAGAATTTTAACCACAAGAACCAGCAGGGGGAGACATTTTCTACCTGTAAAAAGAGGGAAGCTTAAACTTAAAAAAATTGGGGATGAAGGTAAACAAAAATAATGTTATCTATCCACCTGTTTTTTTTGTTCCTTTATTCTCATCTACTGCAGTTTTTTTTTTTTTTTTTTTTGCACATTCAATTTTACTTCATTTGAAGACTTGCAAAGACTTTAATTATAAACTACTGTATATTTCCATATTTAAAAAGGTCAGTGGTGCCATAATTTTAATATCTGGTGTTCTGAAGGTCACATGCTACTGATGTAGCCCCAAGGGGTTTTAAAATGCTTCGAAATGTGATGACCAACACTTGTAGGTCTGAATTTGCAAATTGGAAACACACATACCTACATACATTTTCTTTTTTTTCCACACAAAATTTAGATGAGAGACTTGTTTTTATTTTTGCCTTCAGCAGATCCTGATATGATTCTAAAAAGCACTGCTAAATTGTCATTAAAAGAAGTCCGGCGCCTCGCTGTAGGTTGTTTTTTTTTTTTTTTTTTTTTTTTTTTAAAGAAAAGCTGCTTGACTCTCATAAAGCATGGTTGTTTGACCGCTGTATGTATTGCTAAAGCCATTGCAGGACATTTGGCCATTTAGAAGACTAGTAAAGTTTGTTACTATATCCCTTGTACCAAGGGTCTCCATGTGCTTTGTAATTTCACAATGAATTTTTGTTTATATTAGAGTAAAGCTAGAGACAATAGTGAATCATTTGCCCTGAACCCAGTAAGTACATTTTTTTTTTGTGAAGCCCAGTCTGTTTTAACAATATTTTACCAGGAAACAAAAATAACTTTCCATTCCTTTGAGGAGAAGAGGGATCGTTAAGTATTTGCTCAGTGAAGTATTTGCAGTATACTCAAATACGTAATTTGTTAGTGAGACATTTTTTCTGTATATATATTTTTTTGTCAGTAATATATATGTATAGGAAATTTAAATGGTATTGGAAGAGCTTTGATTCAAGTAACATGCGATGAGATTTTAAATGTTAGTCATGTCAAAAGAAATGCACTGTCATTGGAAAAAGTATGAGAATTAATGTAAATAGAATATGATTGTTATTTTTTTTCTGTACATAATGACTTAATGTATAATACATGTCTGAATATATATCATAATAAACTTTTTTATGAATAAGATGAAAACTGTTGCATATTTATCTTTGGCATCTGCGCTGGTATTACACAGGACCTTAAGCTTTCATTGTTAGCTTACTTTATTACTTGTTAAATTAGGGGTTCCTCTCTGTGGTTTTTGAGCTTTCTGAACTTTTTCTCAAGGCCAAGGTGTTTTATACAGTTTCCGATTGACTATTTTATAGAAGTAACATATATTACACATTTACTGCATAAGAATGTTCTGACTTGAGCCTTCATTTTAAAACTAACTCAAATAATTATAACCCTGAACATATGTTTATAGATGTAGAAATGGGTTTAGGTTAAATAAGTGGAGGGTCATAAGGCTGAAGTGATGGAGGAGCAGACAGACAGATGGGAAACTGATGAACTTAAAAATGAATGAATGGAAAGGAGATTGAAAAAATAGATCAGTGGATGGATAGATTCATAAATTTATTATGGAGCAGGAACGGCCTAAATATTCCATATAGATTAAGATCTGAGAAATAATTACATTTTGTACTTCACTGTGATTAAACATAGGGCTGCTAATCATGGGAGCTCTTAATGCACTCCTTTAAACTTATCTGGGACGGTACGATTATCTAATTGTTATGGTTCTCCCCTTGTGTACTTCTATTTGAGTTTCTTTTTAAAGTTTTCTGTTCCACTTAGATTTATGTTATACTGTTTTCTCGTTCATTGGTTTCTTTTACCATTTTGTGCTATTTTGATGCAGTTTTGTATGTCTTGAGTTACTCTCTGTTGCCCCCTAGTGCCTGTTTCCTTTCCCCTTGGCTCCCTTCTAGTTAGTTCTATTCACACCTGCTCCATATCAGCTTATTAGCCAAGCCTTTGTTCTGTTCCCCATATATACACCACCTCTGCAGTTCCTCAGTGCTGGTTTGTTGTTTTATTGCTTGGCTCTTTGTGTGAGTTCCCTGCCCTGGTTTTTGGTTTCTAGTATTCTGCTCTTGCATTTTGTTTTTGTACCCCTTTATTTTATTAAACCTGCAAGTATTCATCTCTACATATGGGTCCTCAACCAACTTCCACCCTCACTTGGACAATTATGTAGCTTTAAAAGTGTATATATATATATATATATATATATATATATATATATATAAACTGAACTGAACTGAAGCTCCAATGTTTTCTTTTCAGTGTGTGTGTCTCGTAGCAAGGGAGAATATTTATATTTCTTGAGACTGCAGCCATTTGTCTGACCTTAGCGGCAAACTCAGCTGTGCGGGGAAAACACAGGATAGAAGCTGAGTCACAAATCTGAGGCTGGATTCATGAGTCACGCGCTTCCACAAAAACGTGTCCAGGCTTGTTGGCCTGATGCGGGAAAGGTCGCTCTCTGAGTAACCAGCAGAGGGCGCTATTATCCTGTTTTTCTGTCTATGAAGGGGGGCCAGTATAGCTCTGCAGCTGGTGTGCGGTTCAGCTGAAAAGTCATTCAGTTATCATGTAGGCAAACTAATTTGCATTGAAATAAATGTCAAACGACAAATTCGACTCATTTAAAAAGTAATGTAAAAAGAAAACATTTAACCGTAAGTATAATTCCTGTAACTCGTGTTTTTGATGCTTGGTAGAAGGTTAGGGGTTGAATTCTGAGTTAGAAAAACATTTTTAAACAAGGAAAGAAGCAAACCCCACCCGGTAGCCTATGTTTGAAAGGACAATGATGTTGCATATAAGCATCTGCTATACCACTGATAAGATAAAGTGGGATGATAAGCTCCTGTAGTCAGCACGTGTCCGTGTCCTGTTTTTTTTTTTGTTTTTGGGGGGGGGGGGGGGGACATCTGTTGCGGGTCACCCAAAAAAATCCAAAGTCCATAGGGGGTGGGAAAATGGTGCGTGCATGTTCCAAGAAATGCAACACTTACATGCTTTTAAACCGTGCTGGACACCGTGCGCGTGGAGTGGAAGAGGGACGGTTGTGGGGAACAGTTTTTTTTTTTTTTTGTCCTTGGGGACACGGCACGCGTCTAGCCAGGCTGATGTGATTAGCCGCCCCGCCCCCACCGCTTAAATAAAGGCGAACAAAAGGTGGCGTGTGCCCAACTCAACAGACTGCTTTTGAGCTTTATTGAAAACTGCCAGGTTAAAACTGAAAGGGTCTTGGTTGTTAACCTAACCTGCAAACACAGACATATAAATGACAGACAACCACGCACACACTAACATCAATTTCAACTGGCCAATCAGAATAATGTTAATTTCTGGCATACAGGACTTAATTGTTGTCATTCAAAAGTGCTGAAAAACAATAATTTGAATAAAATTTAATAAATTATTTTAAAGAAAGAAGAATCCAAAGCGCTTTACTCTACATTCAGTCATTAACCATACACTTGAGTTGGTACTCCTGCATCCTAAAGGCTGATTTATACTTCGAAACCAGGTCCTCTGCGTAGATGTTGCAGTGAACAAAAGGACGTCCCCAACCCCCTCCACAGACACTCTGGTGCAACTCTCCCAAATTGTAACTGATAGTGCCGCAGACAGGAGGCCGGCTTGTGTTGTTTTTATGACAGAAATTGCGGAAAAGGTGCGAAAGTGCCGGAGAACGCTGGGACCCTTTTCCCACCTGGATCCCCGCTATTTTCCGCCATCATGTCACTCCGTTGTCGGACAAATTCGCCCCCACTTGCCCACAGCGTATAGCACAGAACAGGCTTCAATATTGAGCATAATTCAAATTGTATGCGTCAAGCTCACTGCAACACACTGCTGCAGGAGTATAACCAGCCCTTAACTCACTGTTTAACAGCACTAAAACTGGGCATACACTGTACGAGTTTTTGCCCTTTTTGGTTGAGTGAGAATTTTTCAATCAGCCAACTTTCAGCCTCGTCGTGCGTCGCGTAGTATACAGGGGGTAATTAGGGGAGATTAGCCTCTCACAACCAACTCCTGATCAGGAATCGTAAGGTCGAGAGAAAATCAAACATGTTTGAAATTCAATCAGCCGTGAGCTGTTTACCTCCACACCCTGTGATTTCATCATACAGTTTAAGCTGTAGCTGCGTTCAACAATTGAAAATATCGAACAGTGTATGCCTGGCTTAAGTGATTCTCGGGTCACGCTCCCCCTACAGGACCTTTTGAACATAGCACTGTTATAAACACTGACTACCCTCCATGAACCCTGAGCTACAGCAATCTAAGCAGCTTCCAACTTCTGACAGTTTTTAACTTATAAAACCAGACACACATAATGTGTTACACACTCTTTTTGTAAGTATTTGGTTTTGTGTTTGAACGTACAACATTGATACTCATGACTTGAATTATAAATAACTGTTAAAAACCTGTTTTATTTCAATCATCCCTTCTGGGAGTTGATCTGAATTGAAAGTGCAACTAAAAGAAAGCAGTTAATCATGCTTATAAAACAAGTTGACATATCTTACCATTATAAATGATTACATTGGAACACAAAAAGTTTGAAGCTGCTGGCATTGCACATATAAAAACATAAATAGTAATATACTGATATAACTCTCACGGAAGCCAAAAGGGTGCATAGAAGAAAAAGGGGTATTGAATTTTCAGAAGTTAAATCTTGATAAACAGTAATAACTTGATTAATCAAAAGAATCAGCCCTACCTTCTAGTCTAATGTCTGAACTGAAAAGCGAGCTGTCTGATTTTTTAAACCAGTCCAGCTTGTATGCCAACTATATATAGGTTAAAGGGACAACACAGCAGTTTTTAGAGTGCTCTTCAGGAGACTTCAAGAAGTCTCGTCTGATTATTAGGGTCAGGACAGGCTTGTAGATGTCTCTTTCGGGAGGGTTCTGTCACCTGACTGTAAACAGTACAGCCGGTTAAGTAAGAGGATAGAAAGCTGTTTATTAAGGGCAAAGGAAGGCTGGGCGGGGAAAGTTTGCTATGTAAAACCTTCCCAGTGATTCCCCAAGCAGGGAAAGTACTTATCTTAAAATAACCTCCCAGTATTTATCATGGAAGGTATTTATTTCTCCACTCTGTTTACTCAAATATGTCACAATTCATAATATTGAAAAGAGAAAAAAACCCAGAAATATCATACACCTTATGTATTTTTCAATTGCACCTGTTTTCCTGAGATCTTAATCTAGGGAAACTCGCAGTCAACCTATTATACTAAAAAAGCCTTTAGAGCATATTTTTGTAGTTATTAATATTTAGAATATTGAATAATAATACTAAAACGTAATAAATATTGGAAGTAGATATTAGACGTCTAAATTTATAGTTTTATTTATTATATGTGCAAGTTGCTTTGTCTTTTCATATCCTTGAAATTTTGCAACATTTTTCTTACATATTAAAATGTATCTATATACCATAAGGAAATGTGGCTCTATAACCATATTTACAATATCTGCTTTCAGAGGGGCAACTTAAAGTACTTCTTAAAGAAGTTTAAAGCAACTCTTTCAAAGTCATTAAAAATAATTGTTACATGTTTAACCTATATGGAATGTAAAATGTATGTTATTAAAAAGATATTTGTAAATATTCTCATAAGACCTCGCTTCCTCACCGCCGCTAAATACTGCTACTAGATGTAACTGCAGGAGCTTTCTTTAAGTCATTTCAAGTGATGTTTCCACATATTCCATATTTGCACCAACAAATGTTTGCACCTGAGCACGGTGGTGTTGATGTGCACGTAATTAATGTAAAACATCATGGGTTATAGCATGGAGCCCCCTGGGTGTCAGGGTAAAAAAAAAAAAAAAAAAAAAAAAGCCGGTGGAAACCCGTGGGCACGGATTGATAAACTTTGCGCACGATTTTCCAATCCGTGCACTCAGATTAAGAAACTGTGCTCTCGGTTTTTTAATCCGTTTATTAATCCGTGCGCACACAGTAAGTTTAGTCAATTAATTGTTATATAGATATAAACATATAGACTTAGTGTAGTGCGATGCTTTAATGAGCATGCTTTAGAGCTTGAACTTGCATCTAACTATGAAGGTTCCAGAGCAGCTGTGTGCGCATGGAATGCAAAGCAGAGCACACAGTTTATTGATCCTAGCGCACAGGTTAATAAACCGAGAGCACAGTTTCTCAATCCGCAGGCAGGGGTTAATAAACTGAAAGCACAGTTTCTTAATCTGCACGCACGGATTGAAAAACTGTGCGCTCAGTTTATCAATCTGTGGCCACGTATTTCCACCAGATTTTTTTTTTTTTTTTTTTTTACCCTGACACCCAGGGAGCTCCATATTATAGAAATAAGGTGGAAAGGAAAACTTATTTGTGGCACCTGCCCCCAAAACTGTGGCTCCCTGGGTGGTGAGCCCTATTTCTCATATTAGACACCAAACAGGATTTAGGGGTTCAGTGCATCCTAATGTCATAATACCCATGGAAAAACATCAACTGTTAAAAAACTTATAAAAACATGTTTCTTTTTAGCAAATTGTTTTTACCAACGCAGTGAGAGGTCTACTATTAGTTTATATTGGATGTTGATGAGCCAAAGTGGAGGATCTGCAGTGGGAGGGGTGGTGGGGAATTTCTTGAAACAGTGAAATCAAGCCCACGTGGGCAAATGATCAACAACTGAAGTCGAATACCTACTAATGTTCCGGGACTTTTGCTTTCCTTACCCTCGGTTTACCCCAGCTGTTCCGAGCCAATGGTTGGAGACAACACTAGGGGGGGAGAGAAGGACCGCCCATTGCCGAGAAACTACGCCGGCGTGGGTATAAATCCACCCACAGCCTGTTTCCGAGCTCAGAAAAACACAAGAGACAGAGAGAGGAAGAACACAACCGGAATATCAGAGCACTGAACAGCCCGATCACACTTGGATTTATTCTAACTATGACTCTGGAAGAAATCAGCGGACAAGAGAACACAATGGATAACGCTGATAGGTAAATATTTGAAGAAATGTTTGGTTTAAGTCGCTGCTCTGTGAACCATGCGCAGGTTCCTGATGGTGTGCGTTTTTCTTTTGTGAAGGGTGCAAAGTGCAGGTGCAGCCTTAGAGGAGCTGCTGATCGCCGCTAAGAAGCAGGACTACCTCACGGTTGGAGTCTACGAGTCTGCCAAAGTCATGAATGTGTAAGTATCCAGCCTTTATCTCTTAAATGCATCGGTCTTTCTGAGCGAGGATGCGCGTCTAATCACCTGCCTCTCCTCTCTGCGCAGCGACCCAGACAGCGTGGCGTTCTGCGTCCTCGCCACCGATGAGGAGTACGAGTGCGACATCGCACTCCAGATCCACTTCACCCTCATCCAGGCTTTCTGCTTTGATAACGATATAAACGTCGTGCGGGTCAACGACATCGATCGTCTGGCTGATTTGGTGGGAGCAGACGACAGCGGAGAGCCCAAGGACGCGCACTGCATTCTCGTCACGGTACGTTCTCAGTTGCACAATCGTGCATGCGCGCTTTCTTAGGTGCACAATGTTTCCCTGAATAGTCTCCTTTCCTCACGACTAATCATTAGTTTTTGATTATTTTTTTTTCCAGAGCCCCAGTGCAAATCCATGGAAAGACCCTGCTCTGGACAAATTGAGCCTGTTCTGCGAGGAGAGCCGCAGCGCGTATGACTGGGTTCCAGCCATCACACTCCCAGAGCGCTGAAGAAACTGTTCCCAGTAAAGAAGATGATGATGAAACGAAAAGTCAACCTTCAGCTGAGGGAGTCAAGCCTTTCTGCTTCACTTGTCTGGATTAAGAGGCTGTGACTGCGCCTGAATCTAGAGCATTCTGGGTCAGCGTGTTGGGTCTGGATCACCCAGTGGCGACTGTTGGAGTTAAGGAGGTCAACTGTTGACTGGGTCAACTGGACATTGAGAAGGAGCTGGACTGAGCTGGATGATGCATTAAGTGGTTAACTGTGGCTGCCCTGCATTGGGAGCCTGTATGGGGAGTTGGGCAACAGGTTGCAGTGAAAAGAAACAGTGGACTACTGAAAGTGTGGGAGCTGGACTGGATCTGATCATGCAGGAGAAAGTCAGATCCTGGTTCTGAAGATGATGGTGTCCAAAAGAGTCTGCATGGATTTTTCTTGTTGAGTTCAGCTATCTATATCAGGAAGTTCTTGGAAAAAGTAGATTCTCTGCTTGCATATCCTGATTTTAGCTGCACAATGTCCAGCAAGACGATTATGGACTTTGCTTTTGCTTTCAGATATGAATAAATAATGCAATATCTATTTGAATTGTACACATTTTGAATGTTTTTGAATAAACATTTGAAATCAAACTATTCCTCTCCTCTCTGACGTTTCAGTTCTTTACCCATGAGTCTCTTTACATTCAATGTGCTTGATGTTATCTAGAACTGACGTTGCAGTAGAATGTCTGAGCCCGCACCACCCTGCAGAGACGCACCAGTCAGGAAGTGCTGAATGACTTTTTACTGCACAGTCTGAGTGAGGGAGTTAACTGTGGGTGGCAGGAAAGTAGATCAAATGATTTGGTGACTTAAGAGGAGGAAAGAGAGAACCAGCTAAAGTCTAAAATTCTGTAGTTTCTGACTTGCACTGTCTTGCAAAAGAATTCACACCACTCTTTTTTTTTTCACATTTCAGAAGATGTTTCTAAAGAAAAACTAAAGTACACAATCTGATAGAATGAAATGTTTAGATTGCATTTGAAGAATGAATTTGCAATCATGGGGCACCTTTAAATTTAGCTTTGCAATACTTGCAAATCGAGATTTTATATTTTTTCATGCTGAAAAGTTCCATGCACTGCTAAATATGAACAGCAAATATCAAGCTTTGACCCAGAGCTACGGTTGTATTTAGGCTGTTCTTGCTCAGACATTCAAAACACATGAATGTTTGATCTTCACCATTTCATTGTAGCCCTGGCACTAATTGTAAGGTTCTTGCCCTTCTGGAATGTGAACTTCTGCCTCAATATAAAATCGTTTGCAGGCTCTAACAATTTTTCCTCCAGGATTGCCCAGTAATTAACTTCATCCATCTCCTATTTTCAGAATGAAGAAAAGCTTCCCATAGCATAATACTACAACCAACATGTTTTGCTGTTATTACAGTTTTAAACTGATGGATATCTTGCTCATTTCACCTGAAAAGAGCACATGCTTTCCTAATATGATTTGTTGCAAAAACTGCAAAACCTTGTATGGCTTTCTTGTTATAACTAGCCAGTTTTCCCAATAGTCTGAATTGTGAAGTGACCAAATAAGTTATTTTGACAGATTCTCCCATCTGAGATGTGGATCTCTACAGCCCCTATATGATTCCTATGGGTTTGTTGGCTGTTTTTCTGAATAATGTTCTGACCAAGAGTTTTATTTCTAGAAAAAAAAGGTTCCTGGTTCTTTACATAAAATCAAAATTCATTGAGGTTTTTGTTTATGTCAAAAAAAAGAACAAAAAGTTCAAGGAATATTAAGTGAATTAAACCTTGCATATTTGTCTTTAATAGTATAGTTAACAAAGTACAGCACATTTACATAATAAAACTGCTAACATTTCTGCAGCTGAAACAAATGTTACATGCATGCCTAAAAAAAGTGGACAGAAACTGCATATGAATAGTAAGAGAATGAAGGTCAATGGCGGTAGATTAAGGGGAAAGCGTTTGCCTATTGTGGTTGACTCACACCTCAAGCTGACAGTAACTGGTGGCCCACATCAAAGGTATGGCAACTCTTAGAAAAACTCCTTTTGATTTTCTTGGCAAGGCCGATCAGCCTGCATCCAGCTTCTGGCCATTCAGACCTGCATGTGCCCTCGCATAAGTAAGCAGGTGCATGCAAGCATGAACATACACCTGTATCTGCTTACTTGCACAACCATGAGCAGCAAACACATGTGCACATACACTCACAGATAGAGAGAGAGAGAGAGAGAGAGAGAGAGAGAGAGAGAGAGAGAGAGATTAGACTAATGGAAGGTAACTGCACAGCATTCTAAGAATAGAGGAAGCTTCACTTAGAGAGAATCATGTTAAAATCTAACTCGTCGACAATCCCTGGTGGGAATTTCCGTGGGTTTTACTCTTTTCACTTGTATGCTTAGCTGAATGAGAATCTATCAATTACTATAACTGCTGAACTAGTCATCTTTCTCATAGTAGTGTCAAATCTGCAGATAGTGATTTTACTCTGATAAACTACTTAGACCGTTAAGATACTACTACTATTCTTTGGTGAAGCATGCTGCAGTCAGCTATGATGTAACATGAAACCTGAGTGTGAGTAAAAGCAGAAACACTATATCTTGTAAACATATTTATGTGTAAAAGTCCCATCCAATCATTAGTGTAGCTAAGCGTCTTTTGAAAAGGTCTTGGATGCAAACATAAAAAAATAGAAGAAAGTAAAAAAACATACCTAAGATCACACAGACTGTTCACTGATTTCTGACTGTTTTAAATGCTGTCTGACAACAAAAACAAAAAAAACATTTGGTGGTAGTGCTTCATAATTTTCTTTGATTTAGAATTGAAAGCCACATCTACACCCAACGATAAGCAGGAACTTTACTGCTGAAAGCAATTTTGACCCAATTGTCGGAAATATCACATTGATGTTTGTTGTGATGTGAGATTTGTTTTGGATCATATGGAGATTTAATTCAGGCTTCTTTTTAAAAGACTGAAGAATAACACATACATGTTTGGCTGCTGATAATAAAGGAAAAAAATGATTTTATATAGTTGAAAGGAGCTTCTGCCTTTGCTGTTGCTGCTGTTTGCACAGAGCGAACAAACATCTTCTCCCCATGTTGGCTGTGGTGCCAAACCCTGGAGCAACAGTCCAGACTGCTGAGGCAGCTGACTGTCTGCACAAAGTCTGAGCCAGAGATTTAGAGCTAGATAGACTGAAAGCGAAGGAGCGAGACCAGACAGATGTGCGCCGTGACTCCAAAACATTACAATTTTCAGCTTCACCTTGGAACATTGGTAAACAACATGTAGTGGTTAGGATTATTTTTTTCCCCTTTTTCCATCAAATTAAACTGTGTGTAACACAACTGATCATATTTCCTCCTCTGCCATGGTCAATAGGGAAAAAAATAGTCAAATACTAAAACAAAAAAATAGTTAGCTACATGATACACCTATATATGTTTCCACACTGGATCGAGATGAAAAAAAGGATGCACTAAATCAAGATTAAACCTTTTATACATTCAATGCCACTTGAGTTTCCCCCCCTATATTGGTGATGCCTGGTTACCATGCTGATTAAAGGGGCATTGTATGTAGTACTAAAGGAAATGGGCCTTTATTTCCTGATTAAAACTATCACTGTGATAACAATAGCCAATCACACAAAGATTAAAGAACTTAAGACAGTTTCAGCTTCAAACAAACAGTCAGACGAGATTATGCTTCTGATTTTCAGGGATCTATAGATCCGATGGAAAAGGATGAATAAATCATCTCTGCATTTTTCTAAAGCTCTATGCTAACAAACAAACAAAAAAAACAGTATCTATTTGTCATTGCAAATCCAGACAGCTGCTCTTTCACAGAAATAAATTTGAGGGACATCCCATTCCTACAAGGAATGCCCAACCCATAGGGTTTATATGATGTTGGTTTAGAGTCTAAAACAGGATCAGAAAGCTCTGCTTCAAATCTTTGCTTTAGTTATTTTTTTTCCGGTTAAGATCTGAAGTGAGCAGACTGGTTAAGCCCTTTCTCGCCCTCATGCCAATTTTACTCATCCAAGTATTGCTTTGGGCCCTGGCAAAACAGTTAAGTTGGAACCTAAAGGAGTTGTTCCCAGACTGTCCCTATAAAGTTTCTTTTTTGATTTAAACTAATAGGCTGAGTCAAGGGCATGAAGACTGCCTACACCATAAACTCCTGTCTTCAAACATTGCATGCTTGTCAAGCAACTACCATTTTTTTTGTAATCACCAAACTTAGACCCGTCCATTGGATTGCCGGTCAAAAATGCATGATTTGTCATCCCAGAGAACAGGTCTGCTCTTCTGTAGAGTCCAGTGTCAGCTCGCCTTATAGTATCTGATGCAGCACATCACATTTAATGATGCAAGGCTTGGATGCAGCTAGTTGGTCAAGGAGACCATTTCATGAAGTGTTACATATGCAACAACATGATGTGTGTTTTATTATATATCACTCAATTATTTTACTATGTTTGCAAGAATCAAGTAAATAATTGTTTGATTACTTGAATCTCCTTTTTTCTTCTTTCCAATGCTTAGTTTAAACTTTGGACATAATGCTTGCATTTTCTAGATGGCAAAATGTAGTGAGAGGCTTTGATGAGGCTGACTCTCTGAGTTAACAAGCAGTTGAACAGGTGTGCCAAATATAGTGCCCAGTAAGTTTTTGTTTTCCAGCACAACTACCACTTAATCATTTCGACAGAAGGATGGTAGCTTTCAGAAACGCTAATACAATAAGCTGTCTTCAGATGCACTGCTATGGTCAAAAACAAAAACACAGTACCCCCTTACTTGCATAAGTACATGATTCATACATATAGGTTTCTGAAAATGTACCCCTCTGTTAAACAAGGGGAAGATATTGACGAAAACAAACAAAGGTAAAACTAACTTATGTTCTTCAGGTCAACTCTAAACCATTTCAACTAACAGCTCTGCTGCACAACAGTATCTTATATACATAACAAGCAATCTATGGTTTTCTGTACATCATCGTAAATAATCTAAGCATGGCACTGCATGAAGAGAAAATGGATCACACTCTTCCTGAAGCAAGAGATGCCAATGCAAAGATGAAAAATCATTGGTAAACAATATGGTACTTTTATAAACTAGCTAATAAAAAAAAAAAAAATGGGCCTGCAAGAACAAAATCAACAATTGCAGAAAAAGTAATATTCTTTCTACTGTTTACAACAAAGCCTTAGCTGAGAACTACACAGATATACATAATGATTTCAATTTTTTTCCTATCAGGGTGTGATATAACTTGATAATATTATATTGCTGTGATCAGAAGGCCTAAAACAGCTATTTTATAACTTATTCCAGGTCACAGTTTGTCTCCATATTGGGAAACTGAAATATTCCCAGACTTGTGGTTTAATTTTAAATGTTTAATGCTTGGTGGAGAGAAACTGTACACTTCCCAGAGTCATTACTTTCATGAGCCCTTCTTCCCATTCCTGCTCCACTTCACTTACTGTAACCACGGGGGGATGAGATTACACCATGAGCTGGCAGCCAGCATCCCCTCTCTCACCCCACCCAGCACTTGTT